CACGCGCCTCCCCCCACCCTTCCCCTCCCTCTTCCCCTTCCCTACAACCGAGGCACTTGTGCACACATCCGTGACGAATTGCGAGCATTCCGCATCATTAGGACACGTAACGTCAGACGGGGTTTCGTCAGCCGCAGGGTCGTTTTCTTGGCTCGGAGAAGGGGTACGATGCCCCCGCCCTTTTCCTGTAAGAGGAAGAATGTATCTGGCTTGAGCCTCGGCAGCAAAAGGGAAAACCCCGACCGTTCTGCGTCACGAGGCGCTTTCCTAGATATCATCTTCGTTCTGTGAAGGGATGGGCGTATGTAGGGATCGCACTAGCAGTGACTAAAGGGGATTACGATTGTTTCATACGCAGCTGAAAAACCTTCGTGTACTTCTTTGCGTGTTCAGAGTTTTCAAGGATTGCAAGTGGTTTTCAATCTGATGTTTTGCGGAGTCAGATATGCTGTGTACAATTTCGATGCGACTTGAACGTCGCGTGTACTGATTTGGCACTCTCGAAACTATTTTTCTGGATTTTTGTCAATATCATCTGACCCCGAAGCTCTCTTAAAAGTTAACGTAACGCAATAAGCCTCATTTAGATCTTCTTGCTTCGTCGAAGTCACTGATACGACCAATGATGCAATGTAGTAGATGTTTCGTCACCTTTGACAGTCATTGCCAAATTCATATGTACAATATTTCTCGTTGGCGTTATACAACCATAACTATAAAAAAAAAACTTCTATGTAGTGAAGGAGCTTTGGTAATTGCTTGAATATTTGTGTCTTACAACACCAAGAAACTTATATTTAATTTTTATTTACCTAGTTATTTTTAATGATGTAGATATTAGGGTAACTAATGTTTGTCGAGATTAAAATCATTTGAAATTTATTTACTTTCAGCACTGAAACGCATTGATTGTAAAATTATGTTTTTTCAGCAATTTCTTCTCCAACAATTTATCCTGGACACAAGAAAAAGAAACTAGGTTGGATTATGCGTTGGTTATGAAGCGCTAGTTGTGAAGATGACAGGATTTCCGACACCTAGTCTTACCCGTGGTTTTCTCTGACCGATTATTGGTTGGTATCGGGGCAATACCGTAAACAACGAGCCATGGACGACGTTCGATCCTCCCTTCTTCATACAGATCGTCTTCTCGTAGGACCAGCGATGTGTTGGTTCCCCATCTTCATACGGCAAATCTTCCATTGATCAAGAAAATGTTTGTCGAGCGTCTGAGGTCTGGGATGCAGCAGCGAGCTGCCACTCCTCGACACACAGTTTCTCGAGATGAGACAACCGGGTTAATAAAAATGATTTGAAGTTGTATTTAGGATGAAAAATTCTGAGAGTGTGATTTTACTATTGGCTTAGCAAGACGACGTCTTGTGTCACTCAAATGAAGAGCGTTGGCTTCTCTCATGGAGCAAACTGTGCAGACCACATTAGCGGGCAAACATGCAGAAATCTGCAGGTGAAGTTTCAGATATATTTTATGTTTCACCCAGAGAGAATATGAGCTGCTGTCATTGCAGTCACTGCAGTCACTTGATGTCAGAAATAAAAGACTAGAATTTCCATTTGCGATGAGTACGCCGGCAGCCTCATGGCCACTCACAAGGGCCTCAGCTAAGCCCCACGGTGGCTTCGTGGTACTCAATGTGTTAAAAACAACTTATTCAAATACTTGAATTAAGCAAAGTGTGTTTATTAATTTAACCACTTTAATGTAAAGGTGATGTGCGATCTTCTATTGATAAATATGCTCGTTAAATTATAACCACCCTCATTTCGACTACATGCAGTGTCTTCAAGGTGTGGATAAGAATCTTTGCTATGAAATTCGGGCAACCCAAATATACAACGAATCAATCATGGTGGGAGCGCCATTAACTCCCTGGCTCTTTTAATACTTTGAGACAAAGTTCGATTTTAAACCTTATCCTGAAAATTAATTCCACTGAAATACGTTGTAGCTTTTACAGAGAATAAGTTTTCTGCTCCTATCACGAATTTAAATCGTTTTTATAGGAATACATTTTTCTTTTCCCTTACGTTTTTCTCCTGATGTTCATTGACAGTTGACAAACACTGTCAAAATGAGCAATAAAAATTAAATATATGAGAAAAGTTCAAATCTTTTCTCTAGTTTTCTTTTCCAATAATTGGTAATTACCTGATATTGGTAATTTAGAGAGGTCGAAATAAAACAGAAAAATACGCAAGTTAGAGATGCCCATATTGGAGCGTGAAAAAGAATAAAAGACTAGAATGAAAAAAACAAGAAATGAAAAATCGTGATAGGAATAAGAAACAAAATAAAGGAAAATACTGAAGAAACGTATGAAAATGTGCATTTCACACATGTCTCCCTTTGCGGTTTCTCACGCTCGGTGCCGCCGAGTGGGGCTCTTTGGATTCATTGATTGGTATTTTCGGGCACGTTAATTGATTCAGTCATTAGCCCCGTTAGAGTAGTGATTGTTGCGTTCGGGGTGGTAGCGGTCTTCCTCCTTCACTGAATGGTGAGATTCGGCACCGAACTATACGTCGCCTTCCCGGGGATTTCCCCATCCAGGTATCTCCTCCAGCGTGACACCAGGCGTCTCGCCCTGCAAGTCAAGGTCTAAGCACCCAACTGGTCTCGGAAATGTGTGGTATAGTAGTGAATGTAAGTGTATTGATCGGAGAAACCACTGAAAACTACCGATCAGAGCAGCGGCCGCCAGAATTCTCCTCCAGGCAGCGGCTGAATTCGATCTAGCTACGACGCTAGAATCGAAAATCCGCCACCGTAGGGAAGCGAACCGTAGAACCAGCGGTCAGAGTGGCTGCACTGAGCGTCAATGCTGGCACTGAGCTCAACTCAGCCGGTGGACTCAGCCACGGATGACGTAGCTGCGACCACAAAGGAAGTGGTCTGTTTACAAAAATTTGCCTGGCGCCACTAGTGTGTGTGTGTGTATGTGTATGTGTATGTGTATGTGTATGTGTATGTGTATGTGTATGTGTATGTGTATGAGTATGTGTATGTGTATGTGTATGTGCATGTGTGTGTGTGTGAAGCTTTCGCTACCGGGCAAGGGGGAAGGGGCACAGGGTGAGGCGAAACGAAGCGGAAGAGATTGCTGATTGGCCGGTGGGAGGGAGATGCGCTTCACGGAAGTATCGGAGCGTGGCTGGGACTTTCACCCCTCTCCACCGTCATTTTCGTCACTTATGACGTCAAACTGGAAGAAGATGACGTCAATAAAACACCCCGTCATCTCACCCCTTTGGAAACTCTGATTCGGTTTGTGTGACTACCTGAAAGGGTATATTCCTTTAGGGACAATTTTCACTCTGCATAATGTGAAATGTACAAACCGACGTTTCCATACTCTCTTCCGTAGAAATTAATTTGTTCGAGAAATTTAAAAAAAATAAATAAATTTAATGCCTTTCTCTCTGTTGAGTGCCCACACCCTTATCTAAATGTATTAATAAATTTATTTTCAACTGTAAATACATAACTTTAATAGAAAGTGAAGTTAAATCGGACCATATTGTATCATCGCCACTTAACAATTATTTTCATTGTCTCTCCAGTGTGGAATTCAGTCATTTTGAGAATTATTTCAATTTATATTAAAAAATTGTTTAAGCAATTATTGTATTAAAAACTTTCTAATCTAAACAATTGCTGCATTAAGACTCGTATTAATTCCATTTCCTACGTAAAAATGGCCAATAACCATAATATAAGGTATACTAACATAGTTAATCGTAGAAAAACAATGTTAATGTAGGAGATAAGGTTGTTATATAGCTACTATTTTGTTAGTATTTGGTAATAAAGTGCTTCAATTTATTTACAGAACATCGAATTCTGAAGTACACAAACGTTCTTAATTTTATTCCATGGTTAATTAAACGAACTCATCAGTTGGTGATTAGAACTATGACGAAGCTCCGACAGGCCACTCCTGCCAGTTGCTTTATATTTTTTCTTTACCTGATAGTGGTCGGGATTATAATACGCTTTCATGGACAGATTCGAACAACATAACTGAGTAAAACACATAGAAGTGACTGAGTGTGGAAAGAAGGAAATGTTTTTAGTTGTTCATTGCCTACGAACTTAATCTCATTGTCAGTGTTTGGGAGTCATATCATTGCTTGTGGCGTCAATACGTTGCGAAAGAAATTATTGCGTCGTTTTATTGATGTATTCTTATATAAGCTGAATCATCGTTATTTTGTCAATAATATTCGGCGCCTACGATACAAGTAATGAAGCTATTGATCCACAACATATGTTATTTCTATATTTATTACTTACTATTTTCTTTAAAACATAGCTTGTCATTACTTAGTTGCGGAAGTTCTGAGACGCTATTGATGACGTTCTGGGCTATTTATTTCAGTGTTTAATCCAGGCATGTCAAACTGCCCCCGTACGAGCTACTGTCCGACTGAGAAGCCCGGTGCTCTTACCAGCACGGATAACTTCTCCTGACTCTGCTCTCACTTTCCCTCCAAATCCAGAAAGGGGTGAACCAGCGCAAGTGGTAACAAGCAAGTTAGGCACAAATCACGTTCAAAATATTACTTACAAGTTAAATCAGGAATATCACGTTTTCCGTTTTAAACCTACAGCAAACTCAGGTAATAGTTAGGTATGATATTTCAGGAAAATACTGTGCCGCTAACCATCCATGCTTGGCGGACTCATCCTTTGATTTACAAGCGCTGTACTATATTTGAGTTTTGATGAAATACAAATCCACAAATATTCAAACACACGTTTCTGATACAATTCTAAATTAGTTACTAAATTTGTTTCTATTGATATTTAAATGCCACTTGTGATCGTTTCCATAACTATTTCCATTGGATTGAAGACAAACAAAGATCTCGGATAGCACAGTACGACGATGTCGTCTTTCAAATATTGTTAATGATAATGAAATTAAGA